TTATAACCAATTAAATCTTAATACAATAATAAAACCAACTTGTATTGGGTTTGTTGAAAAAACTAGACAAGTTATAAATACATCGAGGACACTGCCCATTATAAGTACACTGAGTGCTGGGACAGAAGTCACCTGTCAAGGGTGAAGAAGCTTCAAGATTCATTCCGCTATATTTCAAATATCATCCTGTTGCAGAAACTAATGGACAATGAAAGGAAAATGCTCCATTTCACAGAAACATTGTTCCATAATAAAAACAATTTAACTTTATGAACCAAGGCCATTTAAAAACACATATGGGCCTAAAGGACTGTATGAGATGGTGCATAAAAAAAACATCACACTTGCCTTATGCAAACTTGCAGTTTAGGCTTGGAAAAACTGACTCACGTAAAAGATACAGAATAAAAGCAGAGATTAGACACTTGAGCACTGTCATTAAGTATTAGGAATAATAAGGTAAGTAAAAAGCCGGAACATAGCATAGAAGGCACTTGTAAATTGGACAAGGTGGAGTCAGGGAACATGTTAGCTCTTTGATGGTTATGAAAACTTCTTGGAGAAAGTAGCATTACTGATGGGAGACAAATGACTTAGCATCCAGTATGAGCACGTGGCATGGTTTCAAGGCTCAGTGTAGGAGAAAATCAGAGGAGGCTTTGAGAATGTGCCTGGGGTAATAAAAGCAATAAAGTCAGCTAAAATAGAAACACTCCTTCCCTTGAGTTGCTGGGTCACATATTTTCGCACACTGCACTCAGATGTGCAAGGGAAGATGCAGCTTCCTTATTTATTTATTTTTTTTTATAGTTTATCCCTTAAGCTCTAATCCCATTGAGTATTAGGAACTCAATATTAGGTTGAACATCGAGTCAATAAGTTAGTGCAATCCAATAACGTCTACCTGATTCAATAATAGAGTCTCTTTAGATAACTCTTTTAGATAAATCTCAGTCTTTCTGGCTTCTGCTTTCTCTCTTTGCCCCTGATCCAGTCCAGGATACCTCCTGGGTGTATAAAGGAGAGAGAATCACATGGTCTGCATCAGAGGGAAATTTGGGGGCTTTTGGAGCCAAGGGCAGTCCTTGTACTGCCCTCTGGCCCACTGATTTCTAGACAATATCTCATCCATTACTTTCTTCAGTGGCATGTGTGTGTTTTGGCAGGTAGAAACATGATCTCAGTTCTCCAAATCAAAGGTGAGGAGTTCAATCCTGCCTGCTTCATTGCCATCAGAAACCCCCCTGATGTCTGACTGTGACTCTTCCATTGCCCTTGGCTCCTGTGGTCCTAGCTTACAGAGTTGCTTTGTCTCTGATAGGTACCATCTATGGTATCATCCACTTCTTTCTTGCCCTGGAGAAACCCAGGAAGTCTCCTGAGAGCTAAAAGGGGGCTTCTCCTTCACCACATGATTGCCCCAAACGGGAATGGACAAAAACCACTCTGCTTTTACCTTTAACTCACAAACTTGCCACTGCTGCCTGGGAACTTCAGATATAATGTCAAGGCCGTAGAAAGGACTTCAGGGGCGCCTGGGTGGCTCAATTGGTTGAGCACTGACTTCGGTCAGGTCATGATCTCACAGTTCACGGGTTCGAGCCCTGCATTGGGCTCTGTGCTGACAGCTCAGAGCCTGGAGCCTGCTTTGGATTCTGTGTCTCCCTCTCTCTCTCTCTCTCTCTGCCCCTCCCCCACTTGTGCTTTGTCTCTGTCTCTCAAAAATAAACATTTAAAAAAATTTTTTAAAAAAAGAAGAAAAGAAAGGACTTCAGATACATATAGGACTGTGTGTTTGTATGTTTAATAGCCAGGACTGTGAAATTCCTCCCTTGGCTTTAGGAATACCCCCACCAAAACAGTTTTGGTGGGAGGAAGAGCCAATTCCCATTCTTAAATCAAGAAGACAATGGGAGTGGAAGCATGATATGCAGTCCGGAGCCTGGCACCAATAATTTTTGGTGACTATATTTATAAATGGAATTCATGAGTTTTATTCTAGTTGGTTAGGCCCCTCTCTTGATACATTAAATGGGCTCTAAAGGAATCTAGAAAATCTCTTTTTCTCTGACAAAACCTAGGATCAAGCTGCCTCCATATCCCATGTTCTTTTTCAAGTATACTATGTTTCCTCTTATAACGACCTTAAAAATTATACTCTATAAAATATAAATAACTTGATTGATTTTTATAGCGGTGGACATATTTTATCTTTAAAGCATCCTCTTATATAATTCATCATTTGGCAACTGGTCTGGCTGCGATTTGGGAAAATAATAATAGCCATTTATTAAGCCCATTCTGTGGGCCAGGAAATGTGCTGAAATCATTACATAGATTATATAGATGTATATCATGACACTCTTCATATTTCCTCCTAACTGATGAGGAAACCAAGGCAAGATAAGAGTTAGGTGATTTCTTGGCATCATACAACCAACATGAGTCCAGATGATCTGATACCACAGTGTCTTATGTTAACCACAACAAAAATATTATCTCCAGATGTTTACATTCAGATCTATGGACCATTCATTAAAGGATTACTCTGTACCAAACTGTATTTTAAGTTCTGAGTAACGAAGATCTAATTCAGGATTTTTAACCTCTGCACTATTGACATTTTGTGTTGAGTAACTCTCTGTAGTGGGACCTAGACTATGCATTGTAGGGTATTTAGCAGCACTCCTGTCTCCTACCCACCAGATGCCTATAGGACGTGTCAAGTTACAACCACCAAAGATGTCTCCAGATGTTGTCAAGTGTCCACTGGGGGACGAATTGCCTCCATTGAGAACCACTGATTGAATTCTGTCTACCTATTTGTCCGTCCATCTATCATCTATCATCTTTCTGTCCTTCCATTTTTTCTCGTTGTGTACATTGTTATGCTTAAAATACATTCAAATAATACCATAAAGATTCTGCATTTGCAGAGATGCCACACGACCCCACTCAATTCAATCTTTTATCTTTTGTTAGGTTTAATAACCGTTGAAACAGACCTTGTGTTACGTGGAGGAGAATTTCTGACAAAGTGCTAAAAGCAAAAGAATTTTAAATTTAAACTCAGGAGAAATTTATTAATTCCCTTGACATTTATCTTTTACACTCAATACCTTGAATTTAATGTCAAAAGTACCAGAGCAACTATAAAATGAATAAAACTTGAGTGCTATAATAGTTGTGGTAGGCAGAATAATAGCTCTCCCAAAGATGTGTATGTCCTAATTCCTGGAACTAGTGACTATGTTACCTTATGTGGCAAAAAGGAGTTTACAGATGTGATGAAGATAGAGATTTTTAGATAGGGAGAGTACCTTAGATTGTCCAGGTGAGACTAATGTAATCACCAGGGTCCTTATCAGGGAAAGAGGTGGGGGAGAGTTGGAGTCAGAGATGGAAAGGTGGAGCACAGGTCAGTGTGGGGTGTGTGTGTGTGTGTGTGTGTGTGTGTGAGAGAGAGAGAGAGAGAGAGAGACAGAGACAGAGAGACAGAGAAAGACAGAGACAGAGAGAATAGAGAGAGAGAGAGATTTGAAAATGATAGGCTGCTGACTTTGAAGATGGAGCAGGAGACTAAGAACCAAGGGACACAGGCAGCCTCTACAAGCTCAAAAAGGCAGGGAAATGGACCCTTTTCTAGAGTCCCCAGAAGGACACCTAGCAGACACCTTGATTTTAGCCCAGTAAAACCCATTTCAGGCTTCTGACCTCCAGAATTGTAAGATAATAAGTTTGTACTGTTAAGCCACTAAGCGTGTGGTAATTTGTTTCTGCAGCCATAGGAAACTAAGGTGGTAGTTCCTTACCTTTAGAATTCAAGGTGAGTTGAACCTGAATGCGGTCCCTCAAGAATCCCAGCCAAGAGTGGAGAACACTCACTTTTGGTGAACACTTAATATGTGTCAGGTACCGCAAGAATGCTCAACAATTACTTCTCATAACAACTCCAGGAGCTAACCTTTATTTTCTCAATTTATTTTTCAGAGAAACTGAGGTCAGAGAGGTTAAGGAACTTACCCAAAGTTAAGGACATGGCAAGGAAGGATACCAAGATCTGCCTGACTCCAGTGTCTGTGCTAATTCACACCAGAGCATGCTGCCAAACGGCACTCCCCATGATGATTACAAACGTTTCTGGATTCATTGTATTTATTATATTAGACCCCAGGCTAAGTTATTTGTAAATTCTATTGGCACAAATGATACAAACTGTAATACGTGTTATTGTTCATTTGGGATTTATCAATTAAACAAATGCCTTTTGGTTTATTCACTGCATGAAGTTATTTCCCCAAAAAGGCATTGTTTACTGCCTTTGGCTTGGCTCTGGACGTCCAAGGTCTTTGGCAGACTGGGACATTAGTCTCAGCTCCTGCTTAGTCTAACATTTTCATTTTCAAAAAGCCAGTGGTAAATCAAGCTGAGAGCCAGATACCCAGTCAAAAATTGATTTAGTAAGGCACCGCAACTCACCAGTTACAATCCTACCTTTTTGCCTTACGGTGCAATCTCTTTAGTAATTGCCAAATCTAAGGACACATGCGCATGCACACACACACACACACACACACACACACACACACACACATTCCTAGTGCCCCTCTCTTATTTTCCCTCTCACTCCAACACATACACTCTGGAGGAAAATATTAATACATAAATGCAGGCATTTGAGACATGATGACTCAAATGGCAGAAATTTTTAAAATTATGTTTCTCAGTAGCCAATGGACTTTTCCCAAAATGTGTTTCTCTTCAAAGGTAAAAAATATATTGGATATAATATTCTTATATTGACTCTTAGGATCTAAAAAGTTAAAGTTATATCTTTATAAAACAGATAGTTTGCTTGAGAGAGGGACTATTTTTCTGTTCAAATTCTTAACTCTCAAGAATCCTGTATGTACTCAATAAATAAAAGACTAAACTGAATTCCATAACCTGCTCATATAACTCAGGTGAGTGATTCCAGGAGAGGAAGTTATGAGCTCATTTGTTTATTATTTTTCTTGGATAGGAACAAGCTTATAAGTTATGATTTGAACACTTTTTCTTTTTCTTTTTCTTTTTTTCCTCTTTCTTTCTTTCTTTCTTTCTCTTTCTCTTCTTCTTCCTTTAAGGGAACAATGAAGCAATCAAGAAAGAGAAATGTGTACTGTCTGGATGGCCACACTGGGGAAATTGTTCTCACGGTTAGTGCTGTGCTCATAGAGCTCCAACTCCTAAGCATTTATGTGATTGTTTCATTTGCCTACATGTCTGAAATACTTTCTGCTACCCCAGTATCTTCATAATGTATAAGGGAAGAGTATTAGTCTCAATCACATCAAAAAGGCTGGACTCCAGCCCCAGCTTTGGCACTCTGCTGATAGTGACACTGGTCTCTTAAACCCTCTGGGACTGTTTTGTCATACCCAAAAGGATTTAATCCTGCCTAACTGGAAATGTGCTTATGCGGTCATTCAAAGGGTGCTCATATGCTGAAGCACTTCATAAACCATAGCACCTGCTAAAAATATAAGAAAACATTATCATTGCTCTTTCTCTCATTACAAATTTTCTGCCTGCCAAGGAGTGATTTCTTTGTGTTGTGTCTTCTATTCTGTCTCTCCCCTTTCTTTAGAAATTACTTGATGGTTTGTCATCATAGTAAGGTTCCAATTACTGCATTATCATTTTAAAACTCAAGAAAGTGACGTGTAGACTGTTGAAAGGGAGATAAAATGGAATATAATACTACCACTCAAATTGACCAAGTCACTTAATTTTCTTGATTTGGTTTTAAAACTGTTTTCCTTTAAGAAGCGGGTGGATAGGTGATCACCAAACTCATAGCCTTTGCACAAGTTAAATAGCTCCTCCCTTTTTATTCTTTTTACATAATACGCATAGTTGGGAAGCTGGACAGAACACTCAAGATACAAATCAACTCGTTACAAGGAGAATTTTTTTCTTTTCTTTTTACTGTATCCATATAAGAAGGTGGATGCTGAGCCTTATCATTTCACAGTATATGTAAATCAAACCATCATGCCTTACACCTGAAACTTAGTGATGTACGTCAATTATTTCAGTAAAAGTGGAGAAAAAAAGATACACTAGGGTAGGAAGGTAATTTTTTTTAATGTTTATTTATTTTTGAGAGAGAGAGGGAGTGTGAGAGCGAGCGGGGGAGGGACAAAGAAAGAGGGAGACACAGAATCCGAAACAGGCTCCAGGCTCCAAGCTGTCAGCACAGAACCTGACATGGGGCTCAAACTCACAAACTGTGAGATCATGACCTGAGCCGGTCAGAGGCTTACCTGACTGAGCCACCCAGGCGCCCCTAGGGAGGTAATTTTTTATAGTCCATTCTGCTTTACTTGATTTCTAAAGGGAAAGTTTGCTTTCCAGAGGGTATTTACCCTAAGTGGGGGGGAGAGAGGGGCAAGAAGCCTTAGGCTATAGATTAAGTAAGGAAATGAGCCAGAATCTTATGCTTCACAATTTGTGGAAAGAAAATAATAAAACATGCTAAAATTTTGCATAACTCTATGTAAAAGCAGACTTTTTTTTTGCATCTTCTCTTTCCTGTTTCTCTTCTGAATTATACTCATATAAATAGTAGAAAGAGTTAAGATGAGATTACTTTCCAGAAATGATTGTTTTTCCTCCAAGAACTCAAAATATGTTGATTAGGAGAATGTATAGTTGGTAAAAAAAAATTAGTCATTATATAGAATTTTTCTCTCCCTGTATTTTCACATTTTTCTCCATAGTTGATTTTTATGTGAATTGTTGCAATCAACATTTTCAGGTCTTAAATGACTTCTTTTTTACCAGGCACTTGAATTGTCTGCACAATGTAGTTTCCTAGGAATTTTAAGAAAAATGTGCTTTCTATTGGTCAACTCTTGCTTTTCCCCATTCTGTTTCAAACTTTCTTCTACTGAGACCCTAAATGATGTCTGGTTTTCATTTGTAAAGGTCTTAAAGGAACCAACTTTTATGCTATATTATTATTTGCTGTATCTTCCCTTTTTATCTTTCTTGTTTATGCACATACAACTGTGTTGTCTTCAGTTTCTCTGGCTTGCACTAAGGTACCTTGAACTTTTTTCCTATTATATCATAAAATATTTGTGTCATTTTGATGTGAAATTTCCAGAGGTAGCTTCCACGGAAAGACATACTAAATTTGGTTTATATGTTTACTACCTAATATATCCTTGAACTTTAAAGACTTTAGATTTTCAGTTGTCAACCCAATGACAGAAAGCACTATCAGTGATATCCATATCAAACCATGCACACCTATAAACTGGGAAACACTTTTAAATTACATGGCAGGTTTTTATCTCTTCCGTCATTGCAGCTTAATTCAAGTAATATTTGTCTGTTTCTATGGTGCAAATCTGTCCCAGGCACTTTTAAGGACACAAAGATGAATAAAACATGTAGGCTAGTGTCTTGCAGATTTTACCAAGATACAAGTACGTGAAGATTTAAATTAAATATCTAAAGTACTAATTGAAAGAGGAGTCCTGGGACTCAATATAAAACACTACTCAATATACTGAAGGTCAAAGTTGAACTTTAAACAAAGAATTAATTATTTTGCTCTTAAAAAGGTGAAGCATTCAGGGTAAGAAATTAAATCAAGAGTGATGTTTCCCTCAGTAAAACTTTGGTTCAATACTATAAGGAGATTATGATATTAACTCCAACCTAACAACTTAATTATGACTACCAACTTAAAACTTGAGTATTCTTTAAGTGCAGTAGTCATTTTTTGCATTGCTGGATGCATTAAAGTTTGTATTGGAAAAAATAACGACACCCGATCAGAGTCTTAACATTTCGCAGCAATTTAAATAATATTAACTCCAAATTGTGGTGTAAAGTGATGATGTTTTCAAATGAAATAATAAATCACCTTAATAGGAGGGTCTACAGAAGTTACCAGGATTGTCAAATAACGGGACTTGTAGTGCACATTTTATTTTTAGTTTGGTTGGGATAATAAAGAAGACTTCGTATTTTTATGTATGCGTAGTTCTCTGAACTGTTGGTGATGAGTCATTTCTGCAGCTGCCTTAGCTGCTTGGCACCATCTCCTGGCCCATAATACTTGACTTCACAGAAGGAGACTGCACATTAGCGGGATAATCCCCTGGGCACCTTTGGTTCTTCCTTTTCTTCACTGTTCCTGTTCTTTGAAGGCTCACTGGATTGCAGCGTGCCTTTCCTTCTTCCATGGTCTTCCCTTTGTGAGTAGGATGTGCCAGACACCGTTCTAAGCCCTTTCTGTGTATTAATTTATTTAATCCTCACCTCAATAACTTTCTTACTCCTTCATGTAACAGTTGAAGAAATGGGGGACAGGGAGGTTAAATAACTTGCCCTGTATTACCCAGGTGGTCACCGTGGAGCTGGGGCTCAGACACAGGCAGCCTCCTTTGCTATTAACTTTACACTCTCTAGTGCAAAATTGTTGAATGAATGAAAAGCATTTCTCTCCAAATGTATTCAAAAATGTCAAAGCCGAGATAACTTCTTCAATTGCCTTCTTAACTCCAATCTCTGTTCCCTCTGGTCAGCAGTAAATCCCACATGCAGAGCGATATTTCAGGCTTTTTGTTATGCCCCCATTACTGCCCTCAGGTCTTCTAAAACGTACTAATTCACCTAAAATATTTATTCATATATTTCACACATGTATACATTTTAATCTTCTAAAATGCCTCTTTGTGTGTGTGTATGTGTATGTGTGTGTATTCTTTGTGAATGGAAAGCTGGAAGCAATTATAACTATATTCCTGGTGAAATATTTTGGCATGCTGCTTTTCTTTTTATTTCACATCACATAATTTCAAATTTGATTCCTCATATTGACCTTTGAGAGTATCTATTCCTTCTACTTATTTATCAGTAATAGCAATAAGAAAAAAACCTCTTTGTCTTACGGGGAATTCTGTGCTTTCTTTCAACCTCCTCTTTAATTCCAGACAGAAAGCTAGGTTTGCAAAGAATATTGATATATTTTAGCCTACTTATGAGGATTATATTATGTTGTCATTTTAATAATTGACAACAAGGGGCGCCTGGGTGGCGCAGTCGGTTAAGCGTCCGACTTCAGCCAGGTCACGATCTCGCGGTCCGTGAGTTCGAGCCCCGCGTCGGGCTCTGGGCTGATGGCTCAGAGCCTGGAGCCTGTTTCCGATTCTGTGTCTTCCTCTCTCTCTGCCCCTCCCCTGTTCATGCTCTGTCTCTCTCTGTCCCAAAAATAAATAAACGTTGAAAAAAAAATTTAATAATTGACAACGTAAAAGCTTATAGGAAAGTGGAATTTGCTAGTAGTGGCCAAATCTATACACAAAGAGATGCCTTCTTGAGATTCCAATGACACATTAACATCCATACATAATCTCTAAATTTCATGAAAGTTATCAAAGGCAGAACCCCTGTCAAAAACTTGTTTATTTTTGATAAAAGAGAGAACATAAGGAAGGCATCTTTTAATTTTGAAAAGAGATGGAAGGCCTTCTAAAAGTTAAACTTATAATTCTGCTTACAATATATATGTCCTTGGCTTCTCATATTTAAATGAATGTGCCAGTTCTGTCATTCAAATCAATGGAAATGAAAAAAAATCAGTGGTTTAAGTATCTTTTTACTGTTGATTACCAATAAGTCGAGAATATTTATCTGATTTTTGGAATAAAATTCAGTCAAAATGATAATTAAGGATTTTGATTTGAAAAGAAATGTAAACTGCGGTGTTGGCGTTTTGCATATTCATATTTCCATCTGCTATGGTGGACCCATAATATGACAAAAAACAAAGAATTCTGCTGCAAATCAAGTGTTTATATTGTTTAATAATAGTACAAACAAGTAAGGTAATGAGTAAACAAATACTTAGCCATGTCTATAATATAGATTGGAGGGAATTTGTTATAATGAACATGTAGCATCTCTATAACCTTCTAACAACCTCTAGATCTGTTCGACTTGTGGAGTACGGAGGTAAAATAGCTCAGTGGGAACAAAAAGGACCTGAATCCTTAACTCTCTTGTATTCACCTTGATCCCTCCATTTCGTTCAACAAATTGAATTGCCAGCAGGAGGACATAGGATTCCACAGACATAATGACGTGGAAGTTGGAGGATTTGGGATTGGGTCCTTCTTTGTCTTTCTATATTTTACTCTACTTGCGTGACCCAGGCAATTGAACAGTTGCCTGTGGGTTTATGACCAAGGTCAGACATTCTAACTGTGCTGTTCTCCACAGGAGCGACTATGTGGAGAGTTTAAGATTCAGAAAGAGAACTGCTGTTACACAGGACATCTTAGCATCAAATAGCAAATTGAAGCTTTTGTCATTAAGAAAGGGAAATCAGTTGGTGACAGGGAAACACAATGAGGATTACTGCCAATATTGGCAGTTGGGAAGTTACTTTTGAAACATTTTTAAATAGTACATTCAACCAGCGAGTGCACGGTCTCTTAAATACACTAACCAATTGAAATATAAAAATGTTAAACGGCTGAACATTAAATTTAAATGATGAAGAAGAAAGATGTGCCCAAGGCACTTGTCCTGACTCAGGGAGAAAAGATTATTGCAGGTCATTGAACCAGAATAGAAGTTTAGAGAAGGTTATCAAGGGAAATAAAAAGAAAAGACACATTTTCATCACAATGACCAAAAAGACTGCTAATTGCATATCTAATTTTAAAATGCTCACATGTAACTATTTTGAATATCACTGATGTATTCTGAAAATTAAAATCAAGGAAAAGTAAAAGCATTGTGCATTATAATAATGCAAACATATTTGTGTAGCTCTTTGAAACTAGTCTTAACATTTTTTTTCCCTCTCTACCCTTGGGTTTCACACAGCAGGTTCTCAGCAGATATTTGTGGTATTGAGCCAGACGCAATCACTGAATGCCAAAGCGTTTTCTGGGAATGTTTTTTCATTTGCGCCTTGCAATGGCTCTGTGAAGTAGTGGATGTACAGGGGAAGGAAAATAACTGAGCTGTTACGAGGTCAGACAGACGCTGACAGCCAAGTCTAGCAGGCAAATACTTGAGTGCTCTGAGCCTTGGTTTACTCATCTGTAAGACAGGGATCTAAATTGCATCTAGTCTGTAGGGTTGTTGTGAGCATCCAAGGAGTTAATACATCTGAAGCAGTGAGCAGAGTGTCTGGAACAAAGTAAGGCTCAGTAAATGTTAGCTGTGACGATGCTTTAATCTGATGCTGCTGTTTCAAGCGGCAGTCGTTAAATGGCTTCTCTGAATCACCTGTCAAATTAGCGCGAGGAGGTTTCTGCTCTTCAATTTATGATCTTTTCAGAAAAAAATTGGAATACAAGAAAGCAATATTTTAATGATAGCATCTTTTAAATGGTCTTTCAGAATGAGTATAATATTGCTTCATGTTTACTGAATTTGGATCATGTAATTATAGGAATAAATAATTGTTCATTCCTAATTTTAAAGGTGTATATGGCTGACACTTTTATTTTTATGGGCCGTTAAAACATTACTGTCTAATTATCCTGAGACTAGTGGCTTTGCTGAATTGGGTAGATATTAATTTTAAGGACTCAAGAGAAAGGCATGTTAGGAAGACCTGTACATTAGAACCTCAAGTAGAACCCAAATTTTCATGGTGTTTAAAAAAGCACAGCATATCTATTTTTGGTGGGGGGGAAACTCCACAAGAGAAAACCATCTTCAGCTTCCAAAAAGGTAACATCAGAAAATATCTATGAAAATACACAGCTTGTCAAATTTCATAAAAACAGATCTCCTGGTATGCTACTAAAAATAGAAGCTTCTAATGGAGCTTCATCTTATGTATACACTATGTGGAAGGAGAGGATAGAGAACACTGTGAAGAACAAAATGGAGGAGACAGGGAATTAAACACTGTTGTGGACTGTTTAATGATCAGGTGCAAATCTTTTGCCTAAAACTGTGCAAAGGTCTGAGCTTGAAATATATTCATCTTTGTATTAATGATTGGCCGCATCTTCAAAATCTAATCTGTCTCTACTATGTTCTTCTTTTCTTATTGAACCTAATCTTAGACTATATGTGAATCATCACCAAGGAATTGCTACATTATATAAAGCTGGCAGGAGGGGTGTGGGGTTTTCTGAAAATGTGGAATTACAATGTTTCCCCCTTATTTTTCTATTAAGTTTACATAAGCCAAAGATAACCCAGATGGATATCATATAAAAGCAAATACTCTTCCTGTTCCCCCTTGACATGAAAACATGTATCACTTTCCATTTTGCCAGCATTGGTGACATTTTCACTCTCCTGACTGTCCAGTCTTGAAATCTCTGTCTGAACTTCTGCCTTTCTCTCTTTTGGCTTCTGCATCTAATTAATTGGGAAGTCCTGCTAATTCTCCCTCTGAGGTATGAGCTCACACCTGCTGTTCCTTTAAGAGTGCTTCCAGTATTATCACCTCCTTTAGAAAGCTCTACTGAGCCCCACGCCCAGTTGGCTCCTCTCCTTCATAGTTCCATAGTACTTTCTAGAGGCCCATTTTATCACTGAACTTGCCACGTTTTGTTATGGTCATTGCCAGTGATAATGCTGCAAACTGAAGCAGTGGTTGTCAAATTCCGCCACATATTAGAATCATAAACAATTAAAAACCAACTCAGTCAGAATTTTGGGGTAGGTGAGACCCTGGCCAAGGCATTTTTAAAAGCAGCACTTTTCAAATGTTAATATGCGTACAATTCACCGGGGATCTTGTTGAAATGTAGATTACGATTCAATAGATCTCAGGTGGGGCCCCAAGAGTCTGCATTTCTAACAAGCTCCCAGGTGACGCTGATGCTGTTTATGCTAACTCTGCTACAAGCTGCCCCCAGATGGTCATGTATTTTAGAAAAGAAATCGTATTCTTTATCTGTATCTGTATGTATATCTGTATCTTGAGCTCACAAACTCTTACCCAATACAGAAAACATCTTCCCTCCCTGTTGCCCACACCTTCCACCACCATTTTTAGGTGAGTAGAGGTGTGGAGACTTTTCTCATAAATCAGAATCCAGATTGTCAATATTTCAGCTCTAATTGGCCTTCCCCACTTTTATTCCCAGTAAGTGCCTCTCTCCCTAGCCCTGCCGTGCCCATGCTTCTGCATTAATCTTACTGGCCACAGGACACAGTGAAATGCTGGGGAGCATTCAGACAGCTTATCGGAGAGAGGTCCAAGTTTTGAATGTGATCTTATCTATTCACCTCATTGTTACCCGAGCCTCAGGATTCTGTCTTCTCTTGTGCTCATGTGACTCTCTCTCTTTTCTCCTTCCACACCCGACAGCCCTCTGCTCCCACCCATTCTCACATTTCCCTCACTCACCATCCTCACTGTTGTCCCTACAGACTTACCACAAAGTAATGGAAACAACGAACATGAATACAAATATAAACAGATGCTTGTAGAGTAAAAAACTCTTCTACTTTAAGTGCTACTTGCTCAGCTGCATTACTTTTTCTTCATTAACACTTCTGTCCTTTACAAGTACAGACCAATCTTTTTCATTTCAGGCCCAGAGGATGGACTCTAAGTAATGTTATTTCATTAGGTTAATAGCAAGATTTAAGGTTCTGTTGGCCTTTGTACACCTTTAAGTGCCAGCCTACCTACAGTCCAGTGCTGTCCACAGTGCATGCTGAGGCATCCTGGGGTGTAGCAGGGAACCCACTGTGGTGCCAGGAAGTATTTTAACATTTCGAGGGAAATACTAGCAACACTTGGGCTCTGTGAGTCTCCTTGTGAATTACTAGGCCAGAGAAGTTAACAGTTTCAACAGTAGGTGGTGCTCCATTCCTTTCGATGATGTCATATATTTATATTTTCCCATCGAACTTGTGATAATAAGAGAGTACAATGCAAAATCAATGTGGAAAAGGAACTGAGGGGCAGCGTCTGATCTTAGAAGTTGCACAGTGCCTGGGAGATGCCCACATGCTGTAAGTAACTGTGGTTATTTATGAATAAAATTAAAATATTGGCTTTTCTGCTGATTGCTGTGTATTTTTTTCAAATAACTACTTATTTGTTAGAACAGAAATACCTGTTAAGTTGTTTGGCTCTATTTCTTGTGTCCTAAGGGCACTGTAAAAACAATTATCGAAATATCAAGGGCACTGCAAACCAAGAATGTTTTGGAACCTCTGCTATAGTTTAATCTTTTTTTTTTTTTTCCAAAAGTTTCTTGACCTTGTGGATCCAGATCATCACATCAGGTATGTGTTTTGTTCCATATCTATTTAAAAGTGGACCAGGGGCTCCTGGGTGGCTCCTCAGTTGGGCATCTGATTCTTGATTTCAGCTCAGGTCATGATCCCAGGGTTGTGGGATCCACACTGTCAGTCTTCGCGCTGAGTGTGGAGCCTGCTTAAGATTCTCTCTTCTCCCTCTGCCCCTCCCCACTCTGTCTCTCTCTCAAAAAAAAAAAAAAAATGTGTACCAACTTGTTGCCACAGAAGGAACGAACATTTTTTTCCCTTAAAAAATTATTTTGGCCTATTCTTAATTGTGATAAAAACACATTATACTCAAATCCTTTTGCCTGTTGATGAAGCATAACCCCAAAGATAGATTTGGGGAAATGCCCTATTTACAGTCTTAAACACATCTGAAGCAGCAATGCTGGGAATCATGACGACTTCAATTATTGCCCTTGCTCCCTCCCCCCCCCCCAGTAGATATCTTCTTATATGTTATAACTTCAAGGAGGTGGGGGTGGGGTAGGGATGATGGTAAGGTAGGGAAATGGGTCTAGCTGCCAATAAAATACCTACATCCAACTCGTTAAGTTGAAGCTATGATTGGGAAGGGATTTTGCCTCCATCTTCTACCTTTTCCATCCATTGGGAGATCCCTTAATTACCTCATTTTACTTCTGCAATGATATAACAATCAATATTTGTGCATTACAGATAGATTTAGTAGAGTGTTTATAACTGATCTGCTTGCCAATAATAATACTGTCTTTATGCACCTACTGTGTGCCAGCCACTAGTTCCTGTCTCATGTAAGTCCATGCGGCAGGCTTCACTGCCTGCATTTTCCAGATGAAGAAACTAAAGCCCGGGAAGGTTAACAACCTGCCTTGGCCACACATGTGGCAGTGCAGCCATGCAGCCTCAGATCCACTTGGAGTCCACGGCTCGAAACTTTTCCCCGGGGCAATATGACCTCTCAGATTTCTCATGGTAAAATTGATTCCTACGCGGTTTTATCCATTTCTCTTTCCAGGATCCTGACATATCCCAGCCTTTCTTTAAGAACACGAGGTATTTTTGATATAAAATGGCCTCACAATTTTAGAAGAAAAAAGCAGAAAGGAAAAAGGGGGAATCAGTTATTAAGAAATTTTAATCTTCTATGACAATAATGTTATTTGTATTGCAGAAAGTGCTTTAAAGGTGGTAAGATTATTATTATTATTATTATTTACAACCATTACTCTGTTAATATAGTGCTAGTCAAATTTCACAAGGAAATGGAGAGAAGTACAAATAAGTGGACTGTCTTTCTTCAGCAGTCACACAGCGTGTGAGTTTCACATCAAATTCAAGGCTAAACCCTTGGGGATCTGTGTTGATGTTCACCCCTCCACTGAATACTTCCTCTCCTACTTTATTCCACATTAATAATTCATTCATTGGAACAATGCCTGGTTACCTCAGCCCACGCCATGGATGGCTTTCCTTCATTTATAATGGTAAATACTTAAAGAGAATATTTGCACACTGTTATTTAGGGGATATTTGATAACAGATTGAAATGTGAATGTGGAGCCCTTGGAATCTTGCAAAATTTATGCTGTTTGCATGATATCCTAATATGGTTGTTTCAAAATCATAGCTGTAATCATAAACAAAGACATTTTATCATTTCTGTTATGTTCATTCTCTGTTCATATAAAGGATATGTGACAATTATTTTTCTTATCAGTACCATATTATGAAACGCAGAAGCTACAAAATACAAATATGTGTCTATTTGTCCTCCCATCTCTGCCGCATGCAGATATTCTGCAACAAGAATGTAGCTGATGATAACATTTCAGTGAAACTCACGATGACAGTATAACTGAGCTGTTTCCCTGACTCAGCTCCAGTAACCTCCAAGGGCTATAATAAGTGATGCCCTCCTCACTCTACTTTCTAGAGTCAATAAAATGGTCAGATGATATTTGGAAATAGCACCTTTACATAACCATGTTTCTCTTTTGTGAACCTTGCCACAATTAAAGCACTATCTTCTGAAATGCCTGACTCTGGCCAGTTGAAACAAGACAAAACCAGCCAGAGCAGCAACAATAACAGCGACCAAATCTAAGGCAATATGGTGGATTTTGCGGACAAAGGGCTCCATCTGGTCAGAGATGGCATTGTCGGGTGCAGTGTTAAGAAGTAGTTAATTTGAACCTGGCCAAAGGACTAACGCTCAGAATGTTTGCTTTCAGAATCAGAAAAAGGAACCTTCCTTCCCTTACAGCTTAATCGCTCTATTCCTGTTTTTAATACATCCTACTTTATAGAATAGCTGGACCACATTTTTCAAGCTAAAGTAAAAATTAAAGGATTTATGATAATCCTATGTGGATGGTTGTGGGCGTTTCGTTTTCAGTGGAAGCATTTCTTTCTTTGTTGCACTGCTAACATTTCTCAGCTTCTTGCTACAGTCTTCTTCCCGAAACTACTCAAGTGAAAAAAAAAAAAAGTCTCACCAGATAAGCAACAATTCTTACTGTATTGGGGGAATAGTTCACATCCTCCCCGTCTATTTATTAGGAGTAACTTCTTCAGGCTTTAAAACCAGAATGTCAAAGTGCCCAATGGAATCCTACCTTGCCCACATACTGATAATCGGATCCCGTGTATTCCTCCAGGAGAAAGAACTGATTCCACATCCAGCTTCTTTTCGAACGGTTCAGCTCATTTTTGCTGTTTCCAGAGAGCTCCAGGGCCCTTTTCTTTGCTGGGAAACCACTAGTCCTCTTAGATAACGGAGTTGAGAAAGTTGGGTAGGGCTGACCAACCCAAAAGAGTAGAATGAAGTACCGGTAAGTTCTCATTCTGATGACACAGTCCACTCTCTGGGCAGTGGGTGCCCTGCTCCTTCAAGTGTCTTTGTTCACTGCACTCTGTCCAGTGTCATCCCTCCTTTCTTCCTTAATGTTCTTTGCTTGGCTCTCAGAGGATGTCTGGAAAGAATAATCACATATCAAACATTTTTAGAGATGCTTAAAATTCAGTGTTAGAGCAAATAAGCTCTGGAGAGAGAGGGCGGAAATTTCAATAGCAAAACAACAAAAATAAGTTGGCTATCAATTTTGAAATGAGGAAGATGTTCTCTCAGATACGCTAAATGGAAGGCATGTGCCGAGTAGGAAGCTTCTGTTTTCCTTTCTCCTTTTCTAGCGCCTAAAAATCCTATTTTAAGTAATAGCATTGCTGTAGGTCAACATGCCAGAGTGGATTATTTCACTACTCTCTTTTCCTCGCTAGTATGTGGGCTGAGATCTGGTTAGGAGAAACGAGTTTGCGTTTCTGATTCCATTTGCATATATATCCTCATGAACAAGTCTGAGGCAAAGAATATCACAGACAGTTTCAATTCAGCTGAAAGTGGATACTGTTGAATTTTCACTAAAATGTACTGAGTACCTGTGATGTGTCTGCATAAGTCAAGGCAGAGTCTGCTCTTCAGACTCTTGGCTCCATCCATGGGTTGTGGTAGACTGGCCTGGGTCAAGGAAGGTTGGAAAAGACCACACATCTTCTTTTCAAAATGCATACTAGCACATTGAAGTTTCTGGAGTGAAATTTTGCAACAGCGATGCCAGCCTACATTTAATAAAGGATTTCTCAGACTTGACCAGGAAGCTGTTTTTCCTCATACGACTTAATAACATTATAGGATAATGTTTTAGAATTTGTATATAATAGAATATAGGAATTAAATGAGCAATTCTATTTAAATTTCTTTAGGAAATCCTGGGTTTTCATCTCTAAATTTTACATATATCATAAGCAATCAAGCCTATACATATAAATTGGTCACAATGCCTATGTAATTTTAACAGGTGCATCAGGTATATCTCAATATCACAGTGAGAGTTGTCGGCTACAGGATCTCCAGAAAAGTCAGCTATTATACTTGTGAGTAATAATTTTCCAGGACAAATATTAACTTTCAAGAACGTAACCTCACATTAAAAAAAATCCTCGGGCCAGATTGCCTGGCAAAGATGTTACAAAGTGGTTTATATTTCATGTAATTAAAATAATACATGCCTATATCTCCATCCTAAACTTTTCCATATTTCTTGAAAAAGAATCTAACAAATGACTCCTTCATTGCACTATTTGAGATCGGAAAATTTCTTAAATTATAGTAACCAAACATATGCAGCGCTTTGTAATGTAGAACATAACAGTAATTAAACTGGTTCATTCACAAAAGAAATACAGGTAAAGAAACATGTTTTAGGTAATAAGAACAGAATTTTCTCTGTGTCTCCTATTATTGTAACAGGTAAATTTATAGATGACCAGTGTTTTGATTTTTTTTTTTTTTTTTTACCCCAGCAATGAGTAATTATAGCCACCAAACACATGGTTTAGTGGAAAGCTTTCTATTGGAATATAAGTGAGATATTTTATAGTGTTCAGCATTTTTAAACCTTTATTCCATTACTATGCATCTTCTTGACAGCAGGCTGGGGAAGTTGAAAATTCCACAGGTGAGTGAATTAATACTGTGACAATTAGTCATGCTGGAAAAATGCCAGGCAATCGTATACTTGTCATTATGTGGCCTTGGTACAGGTGTGGAATAACTGATGCTTGGTTAGGTAATGACGATTCTGTTCTTCTCACGGATAGTATATAAAGGGGATTGAGGGAGCATATGGAGAAAAGCCCTCTAAAGACATCTATTCATTTTTAGCAGGAGAGATTACACTGAGGTTGATTCAGTGGAAATTACATTTTTCTTAATTTCTCATATTCTCCGTTATTTGCATAGACAAATCCTGCAGTGAAGAATTACACGTCTGTTGCTGCACTCAGTGTGTGCCCCATGGTGCTGGCAGGAAAGAGGGATACAGAGAATGGAGGTGTCAGCTGTTTAAAAGGCAGACTCCTAAAGGCCATTTTAAAGAAAAATCGATCCCTGTGGGTGTTGTGTGGAAACTCTACAAGCTGTTGCCACTTGAATATTAAATATTAGTTCTTTTTAATATCACAGATACCAAAATGTCAAGTATTTTTCTTTCTTTCTTTCTTTTTTTTTTCTTTTTGCTTAGTTGGTAATGAGCTTTTAAAGTGATGCAAATTTAAGCAGTGTTTGCAAGTATGCTAGAACATCTAGTTTTGCTATAACCCAGCTCTTTTTGTATCAACTTGGCAGGGTGTGCCCTTGTTAAAAACTCAATATGCAAAATTACTAAAATTACTATGATCCGCTCATATTTAGTGTTAGCTTTTTAGAGGGATAGACTTCTGTGTGAAATTCATAGTTTAAAAAAACTCCAACGAACTGAACTGTTGAATATATAACTTAGCAATTCTCATTTAATACTTTGTAATAGGCAAGATTGCATGGTGGTTAAGATTATCAATGCTGGAGCCAGATTGCCTGGGTTTAAATCCAGACCCTGTCCATTAGTTGCTGTGAACTTGGGAAAATGCTTAATCTCATCTGTACCTTAGTTTCTTCTTTGTAAATGGGGATAATTACAGTAACTACCTCATAGTGTGTTGTAAGGATTAAGTCATTCCATGCAAAGCACTTCTAACAGCGCGTGGTGCTTAATAAGGTCTTAATAAGTATCAACTGCTATTATTATTATTACTGTTGTTATTACTATTGTTATTGTTACCATGATGCATTGCATATTAAGAATTCATCTATAGCACACTGCAAAAGTCTGCAAAAGATAGCATGGTTCCCTCTTATGCTTGAATATTTTTTAATTTTTCTAGAAGTGCTTCCAAACAAGTCAAATTCTTTTTTTTAGTCAAATTATTTTAAAATTAAAAAAATAGAACGTCTTTAAAAATCAAAATCACACCATTTGCTAATCATTTTCCTCTGTGTAGACTTCAGTTCGGGATTTCATAGTAATAATAGTATAAAAACAGAGGGTGGAAGCTTTATGCCCACTGACTGCATGAAGAATGTGGGCAAAAAGGAAAGTTCACTGGAGGATGGACTCATTCATGGAATCTGTGCTTTTTTTCCCCCTTTCCATTAAAATTTTTTTTAATGTTCATTTTTGAGAGAGACAGAGAGAGCACCTAAGTCTGATGCTCAACCAACTGAGCCATCCAGGTGCCCTTCCTTTCCATCTTGTGTTAAGGTTTTGAAAGTCATCTTTATTCAGGTGGAAAAAATCAGAACCCAGTTTCAACGTAGTAATTTTGCCCTTGTAAAAATGATACCGGACAAACATGTCTTTGTGTAATTTATGTGCTATTTTTATTCTGAAGTTATACTGGATAAGAATATGATAAAGTTTAAATGAGTGATATGTATATATTTTAGATTTTACTTAATTAAAAAATATGAAATAAAAACATATTCCAAGCATACTCTTAGATCCAAAAAACAGGATTCTTAGGATGCGGAATTGCCATAGGTCAAGGAGGGAAAAGCCCAGTGTAGCACAACTTTGAGAAATATGGGAAAGTTGCTGACTTGTAAGCAGTCAAAATACAGGAGTACCACATGGCAAGTAGTAATCAGCTATGCAGGCTCATTTTGTAGATGTCAAGAAGTAAACCAAAAGGATAAAGAGTTAGGGCATGCATAGACACTGAATTTTAAAATAGCAGGCAAGCATGTTATTCAGTCAGGAAAGAATCAGAAGGTTAGAGCGCGAGAGAGCAAACAATGCAAAACAATGTAGAGATTGTACCTTTTTGCCCCCATCCCCTCATGGCACTAAGAGCAAATCAGTTAGAAATATCAAAAACTCTATAAAGACAAGACTTGAGCTGCCTAATTGCAGCTTAATGGCAGCTTAGCAATGGACTTAAAAGATTACTTGATAGACCGCGTCTCTACTTTTTATTTTCTTTTTGCTGGGATCTGGGTTTTTTGGGGGGATTTTCTGTTTCTTATAGGCCATCATTTGTACACTCTGAAATGTGATATGCGAAAGTGGTTGATCCGGAAAAATGGTTTGAGTTGTTGCAGAAGCCCTTTCTTAGCGATGTGTAGAAGGTAATTACGATGTTTATGGATAGGGGCACCTGGGTGGCTCAGTCAGTGGCCTGTCTGACTCTTGATTTCGGCTCAAGTCATGATCCCAGGGTTGTGTGATCGAGCTTCACGTCTGGCTCCATGCTGAGCATGGAACCTGCTTAAGATTCTCTCTCTCTCTTTCTCTCTCTCTCTCTCTCAACCTCTCTCCCTCCCTCCATCTCTTTCTCTCCCTCTGTCCCTCTCCCCGCTCTCTCTCTCAAAGATAAAAAAAAATTAAAAAAAGATGTTTATGGATAGTGGGGCAAGGCCCACACAGCATTGATAATTGCATGTGTTGTAACTTAATTTGCCTGGCAGCCAATATGCATATACATTCAATCTTCACACGAGTACGTAGCCAAGTCCAGCTTTTATTTAATGAAAGCCATTTAGGAGGAGCCTGGAACTCATTAATTCACGAGCTACCAGTTTAGAATATGTGATAATTAATGCACAAGCTCGGCTAAAGTTTTCCTTTGATTTGCAAAACCTTTTTCCCTAGATTATTGGAAATTAATAATGTAAAAATATTTCATAGGGATATATAGAATGAGAAGATAAACTACAGTGTCTTCAAGTTCCCTAGAGTCCTTTGGAATCACCTTCTATTTGCAAATCATTAATATGCTAATTAAAAACTTCTCTATTGATTGAATTGCTTCTCTGGTGACTTATGTTTGATAACAGTCTGAATGTCTCAACTGTGTTATCTGGTTTTGAGATACTGATTTTATTATACTATTTACAAACAAATAAGTAAATATTAAACAGGTTTAAAAGCAATATAATTACTTTAAAGTTTTAGAATTCAGACTCAGCATACATTTGTTCTATTATTCTTGATTAATTCTAATCAGTGCAATATTACTATAATGCTACCTAGGCTTACAAATTAAAGCAAGCACGTTCATTCTTTGGTATGCAGAGCCTTAACCTGGGCACTAAAAACATAGGAAGCATTCAATAAAACAACATTCTTAATATACTTTAACCATTTACCATAGTGAGAGAATATTTTAAAATCTGGTAGGAAACCGTTTCTTTGAATAAATAGTGTTGCATATAAATGCTGTAGCATGGTATTTTGCATTGATGCTGCTTACAAAAAACACTTCCGAAAATATTGTCTATACATGAGTCATCCTAACCCATTGGCAGAACCCATTAGCAATGCTTTGGCATATGTATTATAAATCCCTTACTAAGTTCTGGTACATTTTCTCACCTTAGATCATTAATGAAGTAGAAAACAACTGGTTATTTACAACTACTTAACATTTCTCCTGACTCTATTGTATTCCAACTCTGAGCCTGAAATTGCTCTAGTCCCACAAAGCCTTTGGGTGCAGTGGGGATGAAGATGGTATTTACTCCATTAGAACCTAGCAAATTTAAGAAACAGAACTGTGATATCAGGATAAACCAAACAGAGGGCAGCCAAAGGTACCCGTGCCTTTCTTCAAGTAAATCTTTAAAAACGTCCGTGTTCTTTATTCTGAGAGAGGAGCTTTACAACCAATTAAGTTTTTTCAAGATCAATTATCCGCTCTCCCAAGAAACTTTGTTTTGAATAAGTTGCCTCCTGCTGTGCATAAAAAGTCTACAGTACATGGCTGATCCTCTAGAAGTGGTGGCATAAGGATAGAACCAATTTAAAATTTTTGGTAGAGATTTCACATGAAGTCTTCATTTCTAAACTTCCATTTCATTTTTCTGTAAATGTCAAAGTCACTGTTGAGTAAAATTGGTTCTGTTTCATGTGTGTAATGAACTCCACTGAAATGTGTCAAACAGCTTTGGCACCTCTCATCACGTAGCATTTCTCTTGTGCCAATGAATCATCATGGCAACAGCCATCAAATGATGCCTGATTTTTTTTGTAAATGTTTATATTTGTGGATAATATGCCAATCTGTTTGCAAACTGATGTATTTCCAGATGAAGCTATTTTAACAGTATTACCCTCGTTCTAAAATCACATTCCACACATTGCATTAATGAAGATAAAATCAAATGTGTTACAGCACATAAAATGGTGTTTCATGTGTAGTTGAGGCTCAAGGAGTATTTGTTGATGTGAAATACTCATTTGGGACAAGAAACTCCCAAAAGCACGAATCAGAGGATAAAGACGAAGTTCTTTTTCCACATGGGGGAAGAATTCCAACCTATTTTATCATGAGAGAAAGTTATCAGGGTATGGTTAGGAACGGACTCTGGCACACCACACATCTGGATTAGAAGCTCAGCCCTACTCAACACTGGCTGGGGATCAACACGTGTCTCAATTTCTTTAAGTATAACATGGGACAATTTTAACAGTACCTACCCCATAGGATGCCTGCGAGGATAAAATGAATGAATTCATGTGAGGTGTTAACAGTAAGATGGCCACAATTACCTAAGCTGTGAAAAAAAAAAAAAATCTTAGCAGAGGACACACATAGGCTATACCAGGAGCAGAGTTTTGCCTCTTGTGTATTTCTTGTTTGCAATTGAACAGTTAAACCAAAATCAGCCACCAATCTTTAAAGATCAGTGCATGCTCATTTCTGGATTAAGCTGATATCAGGAGTTCTGGTGACATTTTTATTTCTGGAGTGGACGGAGCTCCCTTCCCAAGCATGGCAGGTGCTTCCCCACCAATCCTTAATGACGCTGCTCAATTGCTTGTTTCATTCCTTTATGCATGTTGCCTGGCTCCTGAGGGTGTCTGGGCTTGTGGATGTTGTCTTTTCCCAAAAGATTTACTCAGGCAAACAAAGGAAAAGAGAAAGCATTTTACACCTTTAATTAGATATTCATAGCATGAATTTTAAACAACTTCTGTAGCAAACTATATGTCTAGGTTGCAGAAATGTATGAAAGACTTGATTTCATATTACTCCTTGCTTGTAAGTTAGGCTCTTTGGGAGCTACATTAATTCTTCTGGATGCATAGCCATTTAAGACAATGAAGCTTGAATAAGACTGCAAGATGTCAAAACCCACTTGTACATTAGTGTGAATGATTTCAATGAGTTTGCTCTTCTTTTTCAATAGCTCAATGAGAGGGCAGGCTGAGAGTATTGGCTGGGAGCTGGGGCCGGCTGGAGACAAGGGTTTCTTAGTGGGTGTAAGGAGTTCAGGGCAGATTTTTTTTTTTTCA